GGTGATCCACCCACCTCAGCCTCCCAAAGTGCTAGGATTACAGGCATGAGCCACCACGCCCAGCCTCTTGATTTTTTTTAAATCATGAAGGGGTATTAATTTTTTTCAAGTTTTTTCTGCACCTGTTAAGATGATCATGTGGTTTTTGTCTTTTATTTTACAGATATGTGTATTACACTAATTGATTTTTGGATGTTAAACCAATCTTGCGTTCCTAAGTCCAATAGAGTGTAATTCTTTTTATTTATTTACATATTGCTAGATTTGGTTTGCCTGCGTTTTGTTGAAATTTTTTGCATCTCTATTTGTAAGAGCCCTCATGCCCATTTATAATTAATCCCATTCCTACTCCTAACCTCAGGCAATCACAGTCACGAATATACTTGCTTTCTTTTTGAGGCAGGATCTCAGTCTGTCACCCAGGCTGGAGCGCAGTGGTGCCATCTCAGCTCATTGCAACCCCTGCTTCCTGGGTTCAAGCGATTCTCCTCCCTCAGCAGCCCAAGTTTCTGGGACCACAGGCACGCACCACCATACCTGGCTAGTTTTGTTTGTTTTCTGCAGACTAGTTCTCACTATGCTGCCCAGGCTGGTTTTGAACTCCTGAGCTCAGGTAATCCACCCGCCTTGGCCTCTCAAAGTGCTGAGATTACAGGCGTGAGCCACTGTTCCTGGCCCTTTGTAGGTTTTCCTATTCTGCACATCTCATATACATGGAATCATATGTGACCTTTTGTGATTGGCTTCTTTCCTTTAGCACCATGTTTTTGAGGATCATATTGTAGCATGAATCAGTACTTCATGCCTCTATATAGTTGAATAGTATTCCATTGTATGAATCTAATACATTTTGTCTATCTGTTCACCAGTTGATGGATATTTAGGTATTTCCAGTTTGGGGCTATTATGAATGAATAATGTTGCTAGAAACATTTGTGTCCAAGTCTTGTCTTTGCGTAGATATAGTTTTCATTTCTCTTGAAGTAGAAATGATCCTACTTGAAATAGGAATAATTCTATACCTAGGAGTAAAATTACTGGGTCTTCTGGTAGTTTCATGTTTATCTTGCTGAGGAGCTGCCAAACTGTTTTCCAAAGTAGCTGCAAATTTTACAATCCCAACAAAGTATGAGGGTTACTTGGGAACTTCTGAGTGTTTCCTCATCTATAAAGTGGTAATAAGACTGATTTCCTGAAGTTGTGGTGAGCATTAAATGAGATTATATAAATGAGTGTATAAAGGCCAGGAAGCTTTCCAAAATGACCAACCCCCTCCCAGATATACATACAATTCCTATAATGTATACCAATCACAATTGTTACATTATTTATAATAATAATTATTATTTTGAGACAAAGTCTCACTCTTGCCCAAGTGATTCTAGTGCCTCAGCCTCCTGAGTAGCTAGGATTATAGGCGCATGCCATCATGCCAGGCTACTTTTTGTATTTTTAGTAGAGACGGGGCTTCACCATATTGGCCAGGCTGCTCTCAAACTCCTGACCTCAGGTGATCCACCACCTCAGGTGATCCATATTTGTATGTTTTGTGTTTTGTGAGCATCTTTAAAATGGGGACTAGGTCTTATTCATATTTATCTTCTCAGTGCCTAACATGTAACAGATATTCAATAAGCCATAACAATATCCATGGGCAAGGTACTAATGCTTACACATTAATGTCAAGAAAACTACAAAAAAGGCTCTTAAACGGCCTTGTAGAATAAGTAGATGCCCATTCAGCTGAAATGGAGCCAGGCACCCTAGGTGGAAGGAACAGCGTGTGGACAGGCCCAGAAGAGGGAAGACTGATTTCCGGAGCTGACAAGGAAGCCCAGTATGGCAATGGGTGGTGGGAAGGGGTGGCCAGGGAGGCCACCAGTGAGGTAGAGGAAGTCAATCGGAAGACTGTAAATGGCCATTTATACCAAGCAAAAGGGTTAGAACTTCATCCAGAGGGCAGAGAGGAGCCATGGGTGGGCATTAAGCAGGAGAGTAATGCGATTAGAACTACATTTTAGAAAGATCTCTCTGGGGTAGCAGAAGGCATGCGTTCTCAAACTTCAGCTGCATTAGAATCACCTGGAGGGGTGCTCAAGGAGACTCAGAATTCTGAGTCCCACCCCATAAGTTTCTTATTCAGCAGGTCTGCGGCAAGGTCTCCTTTTTTTTTTGAGACAGTCTCACTCTGTTGCCCAGGCTGGAGTGCAGTGGTGTGATCTCACTGCATCCTCTGCCTCCTGTGTTCAAGCGATTCTCCTGCCTCAGCCTCCTGAGAAGCTTGGATTGCAGGCGCCCACCACCACGACCGGCTAATTTTTTTATATTTTTAGTAGAAATGGGGTTTCACCATGTTGGCCAGGTTAGTCTTGAACTCCCGACCTCAAGTGATCCACCGCACCCAGCCTGAGGCATGGTCTTGAATATATAGGTCTCACATTTCCAGGTGATACTGTTATGGTGGTCTGAGGACTACAGTTGGACACACTGATGTAGAGGGTGGGACGAAGAGTATGGGCAGCAAGACCATTCTAGAAGCTGTGGAAATAGCCCAGATGGGAGGAGACAGAGCCAGGTCTGAGCACATTTTAGATCTGGGTGCTGTGAATTTTTCAGCACCTTAATGGTGAGATTGCAGCCATGGTGGTAAGAGGCTGTTTCTTGGAGGGACATCCACCAGGCAATCATGTGTCCCTGGCAATGGTCAGGACAGCCCCTGACACCCCGCCTGGGGGAACTGATCCACAGCCAGTAATGAGCTTCAGAAAGCACAACAAAGACAAGATGCCCAGAGTTGCAGTTTAATGTTTAATGCCCAGTTATCTCAATACAAGGAGGCTTACATGGTGCTCATCAAGACAGGACCAGGGTGAAACCAGGCCAGAGGGAAATGACCTGCATAAGTCCCAGCACGGGACCACATTTTCTCGGGTCCAGCTCACCCTCAAAAAGTGCCACAGGCAAGGTTCTTCAGGTCACCCAGGAGCCAGCAGGCTGGTCGGGCTTGTGGCCACCACAGTCACTAAGGGTCCTTGTGGGAGAATAGGGTTCTGGGACTTCAAGATACAATGACAAGAACCAGAAAGCTGCTTCCAAACAACCCCAAAAGGCTTTCACTTGACATATGCTAGGCCAGACAACACCTGGATGCTGGTTCACCCAAACCCTTTCCCTAAAACGAAACACCGTGCAGAACGGAGGCTGAGAACACGTGGGGAGGCAGAAGTCAGAACCATTCTGAAGGGTTTTTCAAGCTTGACCACCCCCTCTTCTTCCCTGCAGGCACACCAGCTGGTCCCATTATAATGGAAAAGGGTCACCCTCTGGTCTATTCTAGCACCTTTAATGGGAAGGGAGTTAGGAACATGTCCCTGGCTTCAAGAAGTCTCGGAATCTCCAACTCTACTGAATGATTTCCTGGAACCCCAAGCTTTAGATGTCCCTGGGGACATGGGTGATTTTTGAGGGCTGCAGAGTTTCCTGGAAGAAACTGTTTACCTCAGAAAGAAACGGGCTTTTCTCCTACCCTAGTTTTAAAGTCTACCTGGTGCCTAAAGAAAATACCACTCAGGCTGGGCGCAGTGGCTCACGCCTGTCATCCCAGCATATTGGGAGGCCGAGGTGGGTGGATCACTTGAGGTCAGGAGTTCAAGACCAGCCTGGCTAACATGGCAAAACCCTGTTTCGGCAAAAAATACAAATTTAGCTAGGCATGGTGGTACATGCCTATAGTCCCAGCTACTCGGGAGGCTGAGGCAGAATAATCACTTGAACCTGGGAGGCGGAGGTTGCAGTGAGCCAAGGTCAGGCCACTGCACTCCAGCCTGTGCAACAGAATGAGACTCCATCTCAAAAAAAAAAAAAAAAAAAAAGAGAAAGAAAAAAAAAATGACCACTCAAAATGATGTGTCCTGAAAGCACTCTGTGGAAGTTGGGAGACTTCAAGTGTCACTGGCAAGAAGGGGGCATGAAGTTGTGTCCTGCACTGAATCCAAGGCTTAGCCTGGGCAGTCTAGCCCCTTGGCTAGGTCAGGTGTGAAAGGGACAGCATGAGGTGGGGGGCAGAGACCGCTGCTGAGGACACAGGCCACAAGCCTGAGGGCGGTTCCCTTGTCCAGCCCTATGGAGAAGTGTTTAGGGAATGAGCTTAAATTCCAGACTTCAGCATTAAATTCATTCTCATGGATCCTACAGGCCTCTTCTCCCTTTTCTCTGATGTAATTCTTGGGGCAAGTTCCAGACTGAGCCCAAGGCATGGGAGTCAAACACCTCTGACCTCAGATATGGCACCTGGCTAAATGGCAGCCCAGTTGAGGGCAGAGCAAAGCAACCCACTTACCCTAAACGAGATTCCATGCAGGGTCCCTGGGCCCTGGGCATGCTGGACTTTAAGGTGGACTTCTGGGCTGGGCACGGTGGCTCATACCTGTAATCCCAGCACTTTGGGAGGCCAACATGGGAGAATCACAAAGTCAGGAGATCAAGACCATCCTGGTTAACATGGGAAAACCCTAACTCTACCAAAAATGCAAAAAAAAAAAAAAAAAAAAAAAAAAAAGGTAGCTGGGCATGGTGACACGCGCCTGTAGTCCCAGCAACTTGGGAGGCTGAGACCGGAGAATTGCATAAGCCCAGGAAGTGGAGGTTGCAGTGAGCCAAGATCACGCCACTGCACTCCAGCTGGGCAACAGAGCAAGATTCTGACTCAAAAAAAAAAAAAAAAAAGATGGGCTTCTGATAAGACTCTTGTATTTAAGGGAGACCAAATGTATTTCTGTAAAGTGTACAAAATTAGCCCTGCTTATAGAGTTGGGGCAGCTGTGACCTGCTGACTTCTCCTGGAAGCGGGCTAACTTGAGGTCCCACGAAACTGAAGAAACGATGAAGCACAATTATCTTCAACTGGGCATTAGATCACACTGGGCATACCCTCAGATAATTCCCCCTCTCAAACTTCAGACATCAGTCAGCTCAGGAGCCATCCAACAAAACCAACTTCATATTTTAAACCAGCTTAATGCTATAAACTCTTTTTTTAAAAGTGCTGTCCAGCTGAGCCTCTAAGAAAACCTGGCTCCCTGAGGGGTGGGTGGTGGGCCTCTCAGACCAACCTGTGCCTCTCTCCAGAAGGCACGGCCTTGGTTCAGCCCAGAGCATCCACATCCCAAGGTGGGTTGTGGGTTGCAGGGACGATGTGAGATGATTAAGCCTCTGGGGAAACAGGCTGAAGCCAAAAGACCCCCTCAGGACCCCAAGCCTGACAAAGTAACATGAGTCCCTCTCCCCATTAGCTGCCACGACCTGGTCTGCCATGACAACCTCTCTCTGTCACCCCTTCAGCACACCAGGGAAAAAAGGGGTGAACAAGTCACCAAGCGCCAGTCACCTCTGTCCTTGGGGGTCTAAGTGAGCTCTAAGGGGTGGAGACGTCCTTCAACAATCATCCCCTTCAATAAACATGGTAGAAAAAGTCCTCCCAGGGAAGCAGAGAATGATGCCAGCGCTACATGGGGGCCGACAGGATGCTTTTGGCAGTATCTTGTTTTAATCTAACCCTTCTTTATGGTGGGGCTGCCTCTGCCTACCAAGTCCTTGGTGTGAAACGGCTCCTGGACCAGGGCAAGGCAGAAACTCTGAGGAAAGGTGCCCGCCACAGCCATGACAGCTGCCCGCATGTTCCTGTCTGTTTTTCTCAGGACCTTGTCTCTGCTGGACTATTTTTACACCCCAAGGGCAGGGAGAGGTAAGAACTTCCTCAGGAAAGGAGTCTCCTGAGCCGGCAGCTCCTGTTTCCACAGGAGCCTCAGTGTTACCTGCCCTGGGATGGCTCTCTGGAACCATCTCTGGGACAGAGGGGACCAGGAAGCCAAAGGTGGTGCCTCAGCTGGAGATGTGAGGCTGAGAGCAGGGGGCAGGGTGAAAGGGCCCGCAGGGGCTGTTTACTAGAATTATGAGGCCTAAGTGCAATTAGCATCCTGGCAGACCGTACAGCCCCTCAAAGACCCAGTCCCCACCACCGTGGGGAAAGCAGGGACTTGACCTGGGCCCCTCCCTTGGAAACCCAGACCTGCCCCAGAACACGGACAGCCATGGGCCCAATGGGCCTGTCTGCAGAGGTCACACTAAAACCTAGAATAATCTCCCTGCTAAAATTCAGGGGGAACAAACAAACACAACTCCACCTGAAATAAATACAAAGGCATTAGGTGCTTCTTGGTTTGTCGAGGTAATTACTCCTCAAAAGGAGGTAGCAGGGCCTTTTCCTGGACTTGGCCACCTCACCTGCAGCCTTCTCGTGAGAAGTCAGAGGTCAGAAGACTGGATGGGCCTCCCCAGGCCCAGCTTCCACTAGGAAAGTGAGGACCCACTCTCTTATCCGCACCGCACCCGCATCATCCACACCTCCCCACACAGCTTCTGCTGGCCAGGGCGGGGAAGGAGAGGAGACCCCATGGCCTGAGGGCAGCACCTAGTGTCCAATGTCCCTGTGCAGGCAAAGGACCTCTCAGCCTGTCTGTGAGGAGGTAGAGTCAGGGGCAGGCTGCTGGAGGCAGGCAGGGCCACTCAATTAATCAACAGGTCCCCTAGGTCATAGGAGTCAAAGAGGTCACTGATGCCCTCACCCGCCTCCAGGCCCCACAGGTAGTCATCCTGGTCCAAGGACGGTGAGAAGCTGATCAGAGGGGAGCTGCACGCCAGGGCTGGGGACAGGAATTGGTCCTCGGTCTGCTGCAGGAGTGGGTGTGGCAGCTCCAACATGCTGTCAGTAGCCTCCAAGGGCACCAGGGATGGAGGCGGTGGGACCTGCTGGGGGACCGGTGCTGGCGCTGGCACTGGAGACAAACAGACAAAGGTTATGCCTGGCTCTGGTGTCCAACCCTCAGCACACAAGGACAGACTTCCGGTTTTCTGGATGACTGTACCCCTGTCCTCTCTCCTCAGCCTAGGGGGACCGTCCTGCTCTCAAAATCTGTCTTCCAGCTTCTACACTCAACCCCACCCCTTTTCACTTTTTTTTTTTTTTTTTTTTTTTTTTTT